TTGACACTCCCGTTTTGGTTCCTTTATTTCACATTGTAAATAAACCACATTGTAACTAACGGATTTGTTTCTTGTGGCTGCTTGGGTCTTGGGGGGGAAGCGAGTGCCTCACTCATGTTATTGCCTGGCCCTAGACGGGTCGTAACACTGGGCAAAAATGGCATCCATGGGAAAGTTCCAAGGTGAAAACCACTGCTGACCAAAAAGAACAAAAGAAGGAAAAACCCACCAAACATCTTGATGATCCCTAAGGAATCAAAAGAACATCAGAGCAACAATCAAACATGGTGGTGGTAGTGTGACAATCTGGAGCTGCTTTGTTGCTTCAGGACCTGGACCACTTGCTGTAATTGATGCAACCATGAATTCTGCTCTCTACCATTAAATCCTGAAGGAGAATGTCTGGCCATCAAATGAGTTCGGGTTATTCAGCAGAACAATGATCCTAGACACACCAGCAAGCCTATAAAAAACTGCACTTTGTGTTTACTTGGGTTATCTTTGTCCATCCATTCACTAGCGCTTATCCTTTTCAGGGTACGCGCGGAGGGCGCTGGAGCCTATCCCAGCTGTCATAGTGCGAGAGGTAGGGTACACCCTGAATGGGTCGCCAGTCTGTCGCAGGGCCAATACATAGACAGAGACAACCAGTTGCACTCACATTCCTCCCCCCCCCATTCACACCTATGGGCAATTTAGTGTTTCCAAGTAACCTAACCCCACTGACTGCATGTCTTTGGACTGTGGGAGGAAGCCGGAGTACCCGGGGAGAACCCACGCAAACACAGGGAGAACATGCAAACTCTGGGTTATCTTTGTCAAATATCGAAATGTATTTGATTTTAAATATGTGACAAATATGCAAAAAAAGAAGAAATCAGGAAGGGGGAAATACTTTTTCACTGCACTATACAGGTCTGCGTTGTGCAATTAACTATATAAAAAGTTTAAACAAAAATGTATTTTCTGCCATCTATTTCCACATTTTCACTATACTAATATTCCACACAGAGCTGCAGTCCATTGTTTGACATTAGCACTGTACTGTTGCTCATTCAAAATTCTGCCTATCCTATTAGAATGACCAATTAACCTAACAAGTGTGTCTTTAGACTCTGGGAGGAAGCCGGAGTATCCAGAGAGAACCCACGTGGGGACGGGGACAACAGGCTCGACATGCCAGCTGGGGTAATTGAACCCAGGACCTTCCTGGTAACAGGCGACAATGCTAACCACTTAAACCCTCTCTTCTATAATCAACTTGCTTCAACTTTTGACCTTTACGCAGTAGAATTCACATCTGTGAGTCATTTATGCACTTACTCCAGTTTCAAGTTACTCTCAACTTCACTGAGAACCAAATTACTGATCATTGTGAGTCTAACTGTATTTCAAGCACGTGCAAGCTTCTAAAGAGCTATGCAGGGTATTAGTCACTTTTTAAAATCATTCTTACATCATCAGAAACTACTCACAAGTGCACAATTGTATTGGCTGTTGAGTCAAGGTCAAATTAGACACATCATTAGATCAATGTTAAAGATACATTTAAAATCTAGGAATAATAATGAGTGTAAAACATCTATTAATAATGAATTCTTAAAGGTACATATTCTATAGTCTGCTCTTATTTCGTCTCTTCTGTTAAAATAAGTCCAGAGGAGGGCTCTACCGCTCAGATATCCAATAAACCCACAAGAAGTCTGACAAGACATTTTAGTGTTGGGATGCTGAAGAAGGATCACCACATAGATCAGTGGGAGAGCTGTGCTTCAGTCCTGTCAGAGTTATGAAGAAAAATCCCCCTGATGACAAGTTTGGTTTTATCAAGGTGATGTTGAGCTGACAAGAGCCCTGCTTCCAACTACCTCTCAACTCCCCATACTTCATCACTGACATCTTCCTCTGGCCATCCAAGTGAGTAAAGTATGAGATGAAGAAGGCAGAGAAAGAGGAGTGGCTGTCAGTAAGCCTCTGTAATTTATCTTCTGCAGCTTCCTCGCCATACTCGGACTGTCAGAAAAATCAGGAGAATCTGCAAACTCGTAGGGCCAAAACTCCAAATAATAACCTGTCATACCGCCACTGAAACGACAGCTTCTACAAGAATTGAGACAGAAAACAGAAGTGTCTGGGAGAAATTTGAGGGACTGACAGTTTTCTTTTGGCCTTCACCATCTATTATCTTATCACAATGAAGAGGACAGAGCACAGTAAAGCTGCTGCTTGGTGAATTTTTTAATTTACTTCAGCGATTTTCAACTGAAAATTCTTCTGCCGAGTTCACTACACGAAAATTTCTTATGGCGCAGCAGGACTTGAACCCCAGCTATGGCAAACTAAGCACCATTAAGTGTATCACTTGCAGTCTATTAATAGTTGGGTTGCGGTCACGTGGTTCTGATGACGTGCGGAGGCAGCGCGATTTTTGAGTGGAGGGCGGAAGTAAACATGGAGGACACTGTGGAGAGTCAGGAGAGCAGCTATTGTGCAACTTTAGACCCCGTTTCTCGGGAGAGATATAAACAGATAGTTAAAAAATATATCGGACGTGATCCGTATTCTTTGAAAATGTCCGAATACACCACAGAAGTAAAGGATTTGCCTACTATCGAGGCTGTGGATATCACCAACTACTTGGTCCTCCAGACTTCTTACTACACTAGGCAGCAAATGAAAGCTTTCAAGAGTCTGGAGGCGTACAATTTTTTTGTCAGCGGGTGGGTCCACAACCTTGGAACAAAACGTCTCCGTGATGGATACAGTTTGGTGTTTGCAAGGGTGAGTGTTTGTTCTTATATTGCTTTATCTTAAACACGCTAACAGTTAGCGGTAGCGGCTTTAACGTCAACAAACATGCCACATCCTTAGGACTTCGTTAGAGTGACAGTTGTTTGTTTCAAGGTAAACCATTCTCAGAGGTCTAACGAGACACCTCTGAAGACTTGGGTAATTGCAAAGGAGGATTTTGGATTTGCAAAGGAGGTTGTGGATTCTCAGCTGCAAGCTGCAGTTCGGGGTTCTCCACTGTCACTAGGCTCAAATCCGGGCTCTCAGCCGTCTGTTGCATATCCAAAATCGCCTCTGCACATCGATGCTGTTCTGCCTTAAGCTTCATTCTTTTCTCTCGTTTGAGAACTGATTCCGATCTGGGTTTTCGTTCGTAGCCGAGATTGACCGTCGGAGCCCAGTCCTCCGACTCTTCGTCATCCAAAGCACTTGGGCAGCCTATAGTTCCAATCAAGTCAATATTAGACTACTAACTTAAAAGCACTAAGTAAACGAGAATTTAACGACAACCTAATGCTAATAAGTTCGTTTGCAAACATAACATTACCTCTGATGAAGTGGTCGCTGCAGACACGGGCATTGGCAGACTCTGCTCCTCCCGACTGTAAACGTAAATTTAAAATCCATTTTTTCCTACGTTTTTCGGTTAGAATTTTCCATTTTTCTCCTCTTCGTTGGGCTATTTTTGGTACCCTAAAATACCGTTTATCAGTTTCTCGGGTCGACCTACTGGAGCATCCGTAAACACAACAGGACATAGGCATTTTGCGTACTGTCTGTCTGTGATTTTGCGCTTATCTTTTTCACTTCCGACCGCCAGTCAAATTTCGCGCTTTACGTCGACGTCACGTCTACGTCAAATGAAACCTAGCTATTGCACCTAGCTTAGGTTGTAGTCTCTGGCATTCACCTACTGCTGCTTGTTTTAAAAGGTCAATTAAAAACTACTTACAAAGACTGACATGTGATATATGATTTTAACACCGTAGGGATGAATTTAAAGCTTTTGATCATATTTTTCTGTTGCTTATGATAAAACAAGCACTCAGGGCTAGAGTTAGAGTCCCAATATTTGCACAAAACTAAGGAAACAATTAAATCCTGTTTTAAACTGAGTCTAGCACTCGTAAGATGGTACTTGTAAGTCTTTTCACTCAAACTTGCATTTTGCTGTTTTACAAATGGCTTTAGAGCAAAGAAAACCTTTTAATTTAAAAATATAAACTTTTTAAAGCAATTTTAAATACTGTGATTTTACAGATTTTGCAATATGTTTACATCATCAGCTAATTTAATTTAAGTTGTAATCTTCTGTACATGAAAAAGAATTAGATGTAAGTTCCAGCCTTGATCTTGTTTGATTCCATTTCACCCATGTTGAGTGCACTGCTTCTCAGCTTTTACGAAGAAGCCAAAAACCAGAACACTAAGGAGTGGGAAACTCATGTGCATGCAGCTTAAAGCAGGAAAGACGTGTGCCTACAATGTTCAAGTAAATTTAACCATCTAACCCATTTACCATCGTCCAGCTATGAATGTTTCAAATACCTGTAGTCGGCACCAATAAAAATAAAAGCCCGGTTTAATGAACTGATTAAAATGACTGAATATATTTTTTGTATATTAGGACAGTGGGTGTTGCTAGATGCCCCAGAAGGTGAACAAAATGCATCATTCTCCTACAATCTGCCCATGATGATGAGGAATATGAGATGGCTTAGATGTATGGTAGGAGAAAATCTGTCTCTACTACGTGAATAAACAAACAGGTGGAGGAAGGTGGTGGATCTTGATTGATGACAGGCATGCTGGTAGCATGCTACACTGGTAGCATCCCAGTAGATCATTATCCTTGCTACCATTAAAGGAAAATTCCACTCTTGCATACTCCTAAAATTCATAATATTCTTGAATAATGTGCAATATAGTGTTAAAAACAATGGGTACATGTTTTAAAAAAGACTTAGGTTTACTACTCATGCAATGTTTGAAAATGTTTACAGCCAAAGCAGTTTTCTTTCTTTAAATTGGATAATTAATTTAACAGTTTTTGTCTTGAAATCTAGGTGTGCTGCAACTGTTGCTGCTGGAAATGTTTTTAACCTCAGCTGATACCAGGCAACAGCCCAGAATATTTTTAGGGAATAAAAGGACCTATCAAAACCTCCAGTAGGGGAGAACTACTTAAAAGCACTGAGTCATTTAGATTTACCTTTTTTTTTAAAATAAATAAAGAAATGTGGGATCTTTCACAATATAATAAAGAAAAAAAAAGAAGTTTTTAATCTCAGAAACATGATGGTTTGAGGCTTTGAGAATAATGTTTTTAAGATAAACACAAGTACAGTCATTTCCACTATGACTGCTATTTGGCTCCGTGCTTTGGCCTCTAACAGTTTATATTTATGACTGTGAACTGTCATTAAATAAATAGCAATGGAAAGACTTTAGGAAAATATCAAGACCAGGAAATAAATTTAAACGAATTAACAAGTTTTAAGGAATCAAATCTTGATCTAAAGCTGCCTGCTATTTTCTGCCACATGCCTGATGAGTGCAAAACTGCTTGGGGAAGTCTGATAATACATAAGTGGAATTTTTCCTTTGAAATGGAAGACTTATGAGCTAAAGGGATGCTATCAGGCTCAAAGAGATACTTGGAAAAATACAGATATGGAGGTGCTCATACTCATTTTGGGCTGGTGTGGTCGAGTCTGTGCACGGGGCATTAGGAACATCCTTGGTCGGGCCGTCTACTTGTGAGTCCTTATTCTGGGTGCTGTCAGGGGCTTTGACTGAGTCCTGCGGACTCTGTGGCCCATCAGCATTAGCAGAGGGTGGGCTGACTAGCTCTGATACAAGGGGTGTTGGGTCGGAAGATGCGGCAACTTTAGGGGTGTCGCTCAGGTCAACCAGAGGTCCAACATCAGGTTGGGGGTTAGATTTATGCGAATTGGCTGTAGGGCTGTTTTTAGGGTGAGACTTGGCATGGGCCACTTGGGTTGGGCTGGAGGTGTTGGTTGTTAGTGTGGTTCTCTCACTAGCAGGACTGCTTTGTGCCGTGCTAAAGCTCTCAGTAACTGAGTTAGCAGCTGTGGAGGACAGCAGATTTACCACCATCGGCGTGGTGTCTGCAGCAGCAGGCCTGTTTTGTGGGGAGAAGTGGGAAAAACAAGGTAGGAGAGGGAAAGATAGGGAGTTGGCACAGGGGAGGAAGCAGAGGGCAGAAAAGTGAGGGAATCAAGGACAACAAGGAAAATAAAAGAGGTAAAAGGAGAGTGCACGTCGGGGGATAAACAAAGCAGATTAGGTTTCTATTGTGCTGCAGTAAAAAAAAAAGAGACTACACAATCAAAATGTTAGCAACAAAATATTTGTAAGGGGAAAACATAAAACAATCCAACAATAAACTATAAAGGGAATGGAGGGAGTTTCAGGATTAAGATGCTCGGATGTCTTTCACAAGCAGTTTTCCCAGCAGAAGGCGGTGTTTGTTCATGCTTTGAATGTGTCTGAATGATTTATGCACCTTGGCAAACTCACTCAGAAGGAGATTCGACAGCGCTCGGCTTTGAAATGAGACGACTGAAGTTTCAACGACAATGTACTGTGATAATTGTTAAGTTGGTTGCTGCGCTTGTTGCTTCTTGTTGCAAAAATAACATTTGAATGGTTTGAAATTGTGCCAAAAAAAGGAAGTCAAGCAAATGTATTACTTTCAATATAAAATGGCAAAATCTGGAAAGTCTTAGTTAAGAGATGACCCAAAAATGCAGCCTACAGCCTGCATCATGGTTCTGTGGCCGTGCATATAGACCAGCACTTGCAGAATCATTTCTATTGAGTGTTCACCGTAGGCAGTTAAGTGTGATGCGTCATACATGGTCATACATACTGTATAGACAGCGGGACATTTTAGCCTTGCATAAAAATGCTTACAGTGTAAATTACCAGCACTGCTCTGTGGTATGTATAACAGTCCTTACAAGAGAACTGGGTCAATATTTGAATGAAAGCTGGGCCGGACCAACATTATATTTGTAAAATGTTTCTGCTCAGAGCAAACCAATGATTTGCTTAACCATCTGTACTCTTGACACTCACTCAGGTTCTGTCAATGGCGTGGTCTCGTTGGGCTCGGTGGCACCTCCTCCTTCTTGGTTTGGAGTGTTTTCTTCCTCTGTTCTCACTTCAACAATAGGCTCCTTACACTCATCTTTGCTGTTATCCAAAGGAAATATTGTTACCAGGGTAATGAATTAAGTGCACTTAACTAGGTGTGTTATTTTTCAACCCTACAAAGAGAAAAATCTGGCAGTAACAATGTCAAATGAACAGGTTAATTTTAGTCAACTAAAACATACAAAAACCCGTCATACGCACTCACCCTATCATCCTCTTTGATCATCTTCCACCTGCACTGACCTGTAAGCTCTGATTGGTGGTTTTCCCTGAGGCCTTGTGTTATCATCACACTGCTCTCTGATTGTGCTGAGCTGTGTGCATTGCTGGGACTGACCTGTTTAAACCCAGGGTGCTAAATAACGCTATAACTCTCACGATGCACTTTCACTAAATTTGTTTTGTGCGAGCTGTCAGAGCTGAAATATTTATTTGTTGCATTCGGAGCTGGCGAGATGACGGACAGTTCGACGCATAGAACAAAATGTTTGATCAAACACAGGCGAACATGCAGTAACTGCATTTCAGCGCCATTAAATATTTACAGTTGGTGCTGAATAATTGAGGGAATTTCCCCAAGGATAAAATATAAAGATTTGCCTGCTTTCACTTTAGCTCAGCACCTTGGGAATTTGCTCTTTTGTCTCGAACTCGTGGGCAAAGACTTAAAAACATGTTTTTAGTGTGTACTTACATACATCTACCCAGGAATCAATGGAGTCTAATAAGCCCTCATACAGGGAGTGCAGAATTATTAGGCAAATGAGTATTTTGTCCACATCATCCTCTTCATGCATGTTGTC